GCAGCTCCAACTTCTTTTTAAAATTGTGATGCGTGTTGTAAAAGATGCGACAAATAAATATTTACTTTGTCATAAGGAGCTGGTATTCCTTCAAAGACTTTGAGTCTATCCAATGCGTCTGAACCACGCTTCAGTTTGTGTGGCAACATACCTGGAAAAAAAAAAAAAGAACATGTATTTGGATCTTGTACTGGAAACATTTTCAGTGTAAGCATTACTTTATACATGCCAAGCATGTAAAGATTAGTCTCAAAATGTGGTATATGAAGCATTCTATATTGAGTAGAAATGATGTCTCAGATGGTGATGCATGTAAAGTTGTTTCATTTAATTACATCAAATAATTGGGTGGTTTGTATCATCACAGACAGCATATTGGAAAGTCGTACAAGCAGTGTTTCAGGATTAAGTACTCATAATCAACTACTCAGTTGACGATTTTCCATTCACAGACCTTGTGGAACGCATGAATATCAATTGATTTTTATGGTTCAATGTTGAAATGCCAATATTTCAACTAGCAACATGGCGTTGAGATATAATTTGATTACCAAATGTGTAGAGCATATCGATTGTGAAAATACCACAAAAACATCACTTGTCAATTTCCAAGCAAAGTTTTGCTGCAACCTTATGGACCACCTGTTTTTGTTCACACACAACACTATCTCAAGATGTTAGAAAGTTGTCTAGTACACACTGGGTTACCCTGATTTGTTATAACAATTGTTATCCAAAATGGTGAAAAAAAATACTGTTTCTGGATAAGTAGGATTATATAGCAATTTTGTATATCATGTAATTGATTAGGTTAATTCTTCACAAATTCTGCTTATAATAATTAGGCAAAAATAACAGGTGCATTTTTATAGGTACAGTGGTTTAAATTTCTGGGCAGAACACTAATAATTTAAATGTCAGTATCAAAGTAATGACAATGTTGCTACTTTTCAATGATGAATTTTTACATCCCATACTTAACAAAATAACTTGATATAGAATGCAGATAAAATATTGACTTACCACGAACCACCCTCCAAAACACTCTGCTGGGTGCTCTGAAGTGGAATGGACCACGGGATGGTTTGGTATTTGTTCTCTTGCGAAGAAACTGCAAGAACTTGACTGAAAATTCAAGCAATGCAGACTTATTAGACAATTCTAGATAAAACTGCTTTTTGATTTTGATATTATTTAAACTCATCTCAGAAATGTGAATGTTTTTCATCGTATTCAAACAATGTAGGTAAAAACATCATTGATAAGTTCACATTATTTCTCACTGAATTTCTGCTAACATTTTTATTATACAACTGCCTCAAACTTGTGCACATTGCCTTACAGCAGGGTTCTCCCTAGGGCTTTTTAGCGCCGAGGTCCGCGGCACTATACTTGTGAAGCTCGGCGCTTTACTTGAGACCTCGGCGCTAAGTGTTCCGACCTCGGCGCTTGATTTCATATTTGAAATGCCAATATCAGATGTGCAAAAGCTTTGTTCGTCACACTGGTCAGCCCCGACCGTCACTCAAAATTAGTGACCACAACGGAAACGCTTCCGACCAAGACTATTGTCCGATTGTTATTATAATTACGTACCGACCGACACGCATCCTGCCAGTCGTGGATTATAATTTGTAAACAATAGACCTAGTCGCACGATACGTAGCGGCTAGTCAAATTTGTGAAATTAGCACCTCTTTGTAAGTAAATACTTTCTGCGATAGACACAGTCTTTAGATTGAAAGCTAAAATTCTTTTAAAATCAATTCCACCTCGATATAACATGGTCAAAGCGGAGTTTACGCTACTCAAGAAAAAACGTGTTTATTGCGTGATTTGGTAAAAGACATTTGAACTGTTATCATCACGAATCATGTAAAAACTCTTCTTTCAAGACCTATTTTACCTTTTAAAAATTGCTAATCATCTCTTTCGAAAACCATCATGCAGTTTCCAATTGAAATCGATGCCAACACATCGTGCTACGACATCGCTCAACTTCCGCAATGTAAATTTTTATGATCACTACCATTCGGAAAACTTCGGATTCTACCGGCATTACCATGCGGCATTTTGATTGGTTAATGACATTCTTGACCCATCGGGTCAAAGGACACATGCTAATGTTCACAAATATCATGGCGGGTCTGGTTTTTTTTACCGAAGCGATCGAGTGATTAATCGCTCCCGATAAAAATAAGTCAAATTTTACTTTAATTTCATATAAAAAAAAAGAAGTAACATTTAGTAAGGAATTATTGGTATAACCGGTGTATAACATCGCCAAGAAAGTTATGTCACGTCGTAACTTTGATCGTTTTGAAGTTTAATTTGTTCGCTCATTACTGTAAATATAAACGTTTTAGAAGTTGATGGTACGAATAATAAATTACAATACGCCAATTAATTATGTTGTAGATTTTTTGAAGGTGAATGTTTTTGGAGTAAATAAAATCATGAAATTCGTGAACATATTTCTGGCTTAACGTTTCGAATGCGTTTTATTCAACGTTTTACAATAGACAATTAAATTGCAACAAAAATTTATTTGTGTTTGTTTTTAGTCTGCAGCATCAGTATTTCGAGAATGTTTCAAACTCTTCTAAATTGTGAAACATAATGTGTTGATTCCATTAAAACAAATATTTGCACTGTGACTGAGCTCATTAATATTCATAATTGTAAATGAGTTTGTTAATGAAGAAAATGTACGTAAATGATGTGCAAATTAATATGCACATTAGTTGCAACGCTATGCATTTTTTCTTTGGAGAAACCTGTTACAGTAAGGAGCCGATTGATGAGTACACATTTGTCAGCAAAGCACTAGATGGATGACAGTTCAGATACACTGGTGGTCGTACTTTACCATATCGTACTGACTTAACGTCCTTGTGTGATCAAGTATCTCCCACACAAACATTTGTACACTTTCTATATTTGGGGTCTATTGGGTTGAGGAAACTGGGCATTAAGGTAGCGAGGGGTTTTGTGACGTTTTCGAAAAAATCATTCTCTGTCTGTTGTCTCGTTCAGAAGAGTAATTTAGCTTATATATTTCAAAAGACTAAGTATAGAGGTACAAGTTCGCACAAACTGGACGGTCATTGTTTACATAATTATCACGCGACATCAAAAATGGCGAATCTTGTAAAAATGACTAAGTCCTCGATTGCGAGAGCACACTGCGGAATTTCCTGGTGAAATTTACGTCATGCATTGTCCGTAATCAAGTCCATTGAAATGAGTCTCCGATAATCAAAAGACCTATTATTCCGATTTCTATGCAGGTTTGTTTTTTTGTCCTCAAATTATTTCATACTTGGCACCTTTAACAGACTTATTCTGTGACAAAGCATTTTCTTTAAAAACCCAGACATATTTCGCACCATCATTATCTTTTGAACGATAACTGCGAGTTTGAATGTCCTAGTCCGAACGCACTTCATTTGGCGGCGGTCCCAATGAGTCGTACCGTTAAAGTCCTATTATAAACCGCGGTTTATATTACAATGTATCAATTTAAAAATTGGGATCAAAAGCTCAAGTTCGGGGTGCGGTTTCTATTACGTACATATTGCAATCACTAAATGGGCGTGGTCATTTTTTGTCCACAACACATGCACAAAACAAACAATACACCGTACAATCTCTTGAATAGGCGTCGGGGATGAGTGAAA